GGGAGAGAGGAAGCGAGAGAGAGCGAGAGATAGAGGAAGCGAGAGAGAGGAAGCAAGAGCGAGAGAGAGGAAGGGAGAGAGGGAGCGAGAGAGAGAGGGGGCGGGATAGAGTGAGTGAATTGGTGTTTGGCCTACTCGGCCTCAAAGAGCATACATTACGCCCGCGCCCTGTGCTCGTCACGATCCAGATGAGGCAGTTGTTCCCCCCCGACAGGCTCGGCCGCCTGCGAACTGCGCGATACCGTGCCGCAGTGCCGCGCGGAGGCTGCGGCGGCGTGCCTACCCTCTCGGCGCTCCGCACAGCACCGCTCCGCCGGGGATGCAACAGTGTCACGCCCACCACGCGCGCACGACTTGGCGCGTGAGGGACGCCGCCAGCAACAATAAAAAAGCGTGAGTGTTGCGCATTGCAGAGAGAGATATGTATACCGCAACTTTATGGGGCGCGAGCTCTCAAAGTGTTCGCCCGCGAGCAAGCTTCAGATGATGAATAACGCAGAGAGACATTATAGACACATTGTCCTTGAAATGACACAATGGGCTGCTTTATTTATGTCGTATGCCGCGACTGCCGATATTTTTCATGCGGACGACAAAAACGGGAGGTATAAAGTAATTTAATTTGGGCCAGTGCAACACTCGTGGAACACACGCCTGCCAGGCTGGAAGTTAACAAACGGGTAAAGGGTAGGGGGTGGAATGGTTGGTTACGCACTTTTACTCTCTTTTCCTTTCAACATTTTCGTGTTTTTTTTTCAAGTGTTTTCTTTTTGGTAGCGCCGGGAGCAGCGGCATCGCTTTATCCCCGCCCGCACCCATCCAAAGCCGGACAACGAGTGGTAGTCTATATTATTTCGGTTCCACAATAAAGCAGGTTATTATTGTGAAACGGCTCCGCCCCGTCTCTGCAGCCTCCGAACCGAACGACCGCCCCGCCGGACAATGACCATGCTCAACGGCACGAATTTTCCAGAGGGGGGAAAATAAAAAGGAAACAACAATAATATAATGTGCGGGCGATCCGAGTATAGCAGCAGAATGATATTGTTACCCTAACCGCACCAACGCAAATATAAAATGATGATAATAATACCTGGTCTGGTGTGCGCGCGCGCGCCTGTGTGTGTACGTGTGTGTGGCGAAAGCTGGTGGCCCGATAGCCCGCGGAACAACAGACAAAGGGGATGGGGGAGCCTCACTCGAAACTTGCGCAATATCTATCGTCTGATTGGTGGGTGTTTGCCTCCTTTAGACCCCCTTCCCCTCTTCCCCTCTCCTCTCCCCTCCCCCCTACCGAGCCCAGGCGGAAGCCTGCACCGACATGTACCACCCCAATCGCCTGTTCCACCCCCGTCGTGATCCACCCCTACTCCTCCGCAATGCCACGCCGCCGGCCACCACCGCAGGAGGCAGTATCGCACCATGTCTCGGTTGACGCGTATTGGCAGGTGTGCGAGGGGGCACCGGAAGAGAGCGGGGGTGTGGAGGGAGGGAGGGAAACGGAGGAGGAGAAGGAGGGGAGCAGAGGGGAGGAAAGAGGGGAGCGAAATGAAATTTCGATCCGAATGGCCGGAGTGCAGCACATATACAGCGGCAGCGGGCGGCATTCCATACCGCCGTCCGAGCCGCCTGCCCTGCTAACCACAGCGCAGCGCAGCGCCCCCGCGTCCATTAGAACAAGGCAGCGGGGCGGACGGCGGGGCCGCACCTGGAGGGCTGCTGGGGCCGCAGCTGGACGACTGGAGGGGCCGCATCTGGAGGACTGGCAGGGTCGCACCTGGCAAGCTGGCGCGGTCGCACCTTGCCAGCTGCTGGGGCCGCACCTGGGGCAGGTGGGGCCGCACCTGGAGGGCTGTTAGGTCGCACCCGGCCAGCCGGCGTGGGCAGGGCCGCACCTGGGGGGCTGGCAGGGTGGCAACTGGAGGACTGGTGGGATCGCACCTGCGGAGGGATGACGGGGCAACACCCAACCCAGAGGGATGACGGGGACGAACCTTGCAGCCGCCCGCGCTCACGGCCTCAAACCCACAAATAAATCATGCGCAGACCACTACAGCGCCCATAATCTCACGGTCCCTTCCAGCGCCACCGCTCTCTCTCTCTCTCTCTCCCGACGCAAAAAGATTTGTTTGCTTTTGGTATGCTTTCGGTACGCTATCGGTTCGCGGAGGGTCGCGCTCGGTGCGCCGATGGGTCGCCGAGGTTCGTCAGGCTTCTGGGCGACGTATCGCCAAGATTCGCCGGAGGTTCGCGCCAGAGCGACCTTTGTCCGTCATCGAGTCGCCCCATGCGCAGACAGAGCGACCTGAGTATGTTTTCAAGTCGCTCCGAGACGTACAGAGCGACCCCACTACGCTTTCGGTTCACCTGGAGAGCCCCGGGTAGTCGGGGTATTTTCCTTTCCAGGAAACCCCGGCCGGGGGCTAGCGCTAATCCCTAGACCGG